ATATTTTATAAGATTATGAATTTCCAAAGATTATTTATTCAAGATATCAAAAATAGTTTTATAATTATTTAAAGTAGCACAGATGAACATATAAATTTATTGGATTTGATTTAATGAGTAGATTAAATAAAAAATATTAATTTATATATAAAACAAGCTTAAATTTTATTTATTTATTTAATTTATTACGTAATATAAAATAATGTACTGTAATATAAATTTTTTAGTTAATAGTTTAAATCTTTTTTTAAAATTTACTTATATGATATATAAATATAAAACAAAAAGTCGACATAACAAATAGTTGTTAGATAAATCTATTAGCAAATATATCATATATTGAACTATTTATTAATTTTATACGTGCCAATAATTTGTTAAATGATTAAATTAAATCAATATCATTATGTCGAATATAGTAAATCATTTTTCAACTAGTAATGTATGATAAAAATAATAAATGATAATTTAATGTGTATACATATATCACAATTAAATTAAAATTTTTATTGTATAGCATATAAATTATTTATGTTTATTTAAAAATAACTTTAAACTTGTAATAAAAATATATATCTATAAGTTAGATTATTATTAGTTTATACTGTATATTGGTTTTAAATAACAGTTTATATTTAATAACAGATAAGCTAAATTTGATTTTTTTATATAAAACTATTCTTTCTATATTTCTATCTAGGATTTAGAAATCTGTTTATACTAGGAAACGGGGGCCGTTGTTAAGTTCGAAGCCAAAAGTTTTGAAAGCAATTAGTTTTCTATTGTGTTATGCGCAAGTCATTTGAATAATTTAATACAGGGGTAATGACTGCATAGAAATAATAGTAAATTTCTAAAAAGGTACAATATAAAGTGATATAAATGTTAATTAATGAATATTAAGACTCATAAAAAAAATACAGTACACTGATAAGAAAAACTTATTCAATAGTACGTACATAAAATGTTAACGAAAAGAGTCGCACGTTGTTTTTACTTATTGACTTACCATATCGGAACTCGTTAACGTTATTCAATTCCTATTCTAAATACGCATGTTTTATTAAAATTATTAGTTAATAGAATATATAAAGTTTTCTTAAGCATTTGATGATACAGGGAATTTTTTTTATTTTAGTTTTCGCTTTTTTCAATATTAGTAACCATTTACGGAAAGATAAATATAATTACGAATTTTTGTTACATCACGTTATAAGATAACATGTTATGCTATGAAGTAATAATAAGTGATCAACTCATATAAGGTGACAGACGGATCCTTGTGACATGTGACTGATTGTTTGTTTTACATTCAAAAAGGATCACCTTTTTAGTGTATTAAGGTAGTGAAACCTCTCTAAACTCTAAACTGTTCGATGATAACCTTAGATCACTTGTAGTTTTCCCTCTCTGTGCCTCTCGAGATATGGACCGATAACAAAGGCACAATTTTCACCGAGTTGTGAGCCGAGTAAAATGGGTAAAGATAAACTCTGGAAAAGAGTGTGGCGCCGTCAATGGAAAAACACAAGCACAGACCGCAAGCCTGTTTGCCACGGATTTTCGCAAAGAACCTGCCGCTTAATGGATCGATACTCGCAAAGTGGTCCGATTTTCAAACATGAAACAATGTTTTTTTTTTTTTTTTAATGGACACTTGATTGGTATTCAATAAAAAGACGTAACATTGAGATGTAGTTTGTAATGATATTGAACCGTTGTATTCCAAATAGACATGCTTTTCCGTTTTAGCAGAGTATTTTGTGCGATAATGAAAGAGAATGATATTTCCATGATAAACTTATTTGTGCATCAATACTTGAGAAGTCAAGTACACGAAAGTTTACGCGTAACAAGCTCTTTTAGTCGCATCACTTTGTAACAATAATAAAAAAACCTAGTATTAATTAAAATCATCGGCGTTATTAATGTCCGACAAGGAAGACAAAAATAGGAAATAGTTAGCAATGAACTTTATTATAAGCGCACTTTTACGTGTTTCTCATGTGTTATTGTTTACTCGATGTGATACAAATAAACTGGTATCATTTTCTCTGCTGTACGGAAGACGCGAAACTTCACTAAAGTTTCTAATAAGTGTCAATACAATTCTAACCTCATTTGTATTTAATTAATAACACACCGCAATTTTAATTAGTAATGAAAAAAATTTTTTTTTATCGTATGATCTTCGATAAGGTTTATAGTAATGTGTGGAAAAAAATTAGCACTCAATATAAACATTATTCTGGACGTTATCAACAAATAAACGAGTTTGTGAAAATTGCCAAAAAAAAAAAGCACAACAACTCAATTGGAAGCTGAAAACACATGTTTAAAATAATATCGGGGGAATTAGGAAAAGAGGCTTAAAAATTCACCTGGTTATACAGTATTTGTACGCGTAAAAAAAATTCACTTCTTTAACAAAATTGGGAAAACTAGTTGTATGGTGATACTACAATAGCAAAGTACAAAGAACCTTTTAACTTTCTATTTGTGCACACCCAACTGTGTGGTCGACCGTTGTGGATTGAATAACAGTAAAAAGAAAAAATCGGGAAAAGCCGATTTTTATCACGAGCTTTTACTTCAAGTTATCAATATGTATATACATGTATATTATTTTAAATGTACAATAAAAGGTGCGTAGCAAATAATCATTATTAGTTTCCTTTTTTATTTCATTTACAACTTTTTTTTCTTCTTTTTGCAGTTGTTGCTATCTTTCAACTTTCTTAATTGAATATCGACGTAAACTCAAATATTTGAGACACTTGTATCACAAAAGGCGCGTATAATTATCACATAAATAAAATTAATTATACTTTTCATGTTTTATAGAGGATAAAGATAATGTGATTTTTTATGAAGATTCGTTTGTTTGCAAGATATCCACGTTTAATATCCCATTTATTTGTCACGTGACCAAGAGAAAAAAATCCATTGAAAATACAAGCCTAGCCTTTAAAAAGTTGGTTTTTTATAAGGTCATCGAACGAATAGCGGTCCTTTATATTTTAAAATCAAAGGTCAACGTCGAAACTGGTTTGAAAATTCGGGCAATTTCTAGACCGAGATGGACGAACGAGTAACCAATAACGGATTTCGTGATTTCCCTTTTACGTCATGACGCCAATCATCCGTTCCGGTCATGTGTCGGAGTCACGTCACGTGATTATACGGTTCCGATTTGAATTCGTAATTTTGGGGCAATCATGTGATTGGTTTTTCCGCACTGTAATTTTAATTTCACCTTATTTCATCGGTACATAATAAAAAAAGTGATCATATTGTAGATCAACCATTACGCCCTGAATAATTAATTATGTTATTGATTAGAAAAATAATAATGATAAAGATAACCTGATTAATCGACAATGTTAATAGTAGGCAAAGCAAAAAATCTCGTCAATACATAATACAGTAATTGTGATCGATAGTAGAATGAAAAAGAAAAGTTTCAACGTATCGTGTGAGCATTGGGGCAAGATTCGAAGGGTATTCGGATTCAAACAGATCATGCAAGATATGCGACAGTGATATTTATCATTTTCTTTAAAACAATTTACACATATGATATGTCATTATCATTATGGTATTCATACTGAAAATATTTAACCAACATTATCAACATTATAACGACTTGAAATCACAAGCAATTTATTTAATTTCGAATCGGCTAATATACAATAAATACCTAAAATATTTTATCACGCAACAGCATTAATCCAATTTTATCAATTTATCAAAATAATATTCTTAATTTATTATTATGTATTTATTTATTTTTTTACTTTGAAATTGCTTAACACCATTAATCATTATGAAATTTTTTTTCTAATTTTTAAGCATGATTTTTAATTAAATTTAAACATGGGTACTATTTGCAAATTACATTAAAACCTTGAAAAAAATTTTTAGAATCTATATAAAGTTTTAAATGTTACATATTTAAATTTTCAAATTTATATGACAAAAAATTAGATTTACTGTATATGAAAAATAAGAAACAAGATTAATGTGAAAATGAAAATTAATCAACATTGTATAGCAATGGTAATTAATAATCAATTTTTAAATTTTACAGACCACTTTTGTTAACTTTATTGGTGATTATTGATTTTTTTTTTTTTTTTTTGATGGTAATCATTTTAGCGTAATTATGGTTATTCTTTCATGAACATTAAATTAACTCTTGTGCCGATCATCCTCAAGGTATGAAGACAGTATGCGAAGGCAAACATCATTCTTAGGTTCATGGATGGCTTCTCTCAGATCAATCGTGATGGTCAAACCCATATACGTTCATTTTGCAAACTTGCGAATTAAGAAGCAATAATGTGAGCAAGTTCGAGATATTTAGTGGCATTGCTTACCTCAATCCGCATTAAATTATTAAATTGCGAGAAACAATCGTAATATCGGATTTCTAGATGATCTTCCGCCTATTAGTAATGAGAACATGTTAAATACCGATATAAGATGCTTTTGGATGCATCAAAGATATCTATTTTCAAATCTCATAATTATATAATTCTATCGATGAAACCTCAATCTCAAATTTTCCATGTATTAGAATTGAGGTTCAAATAAAAAACGAATGATGCATAATTATAAGAGCCACGTTTCTCATAGGGTGTAGAAGAACATTAAAGATTTTCGTAATGGAAATATTCTATATAAATTGTCTATCAATCGATTTCTTTGTGTATTGCGAGGTCATATTAACTCCTAGTGAGAACATCTAAAACAAATAAAGATAATCCAGAACCAAAATTATTTAAGATGAACACTTTCAATATGCACTTTTCATCTTGTCAACAACGATGAATCTAAAGCTTTCAATATGTGTAAGTTCTTTTGATATGTACGTGTAAATATGTTATAATTATTAATTTCCAAATATTTATGATCCGAGAACTCCATAATTTTTTCTCTTTTGGGAAGTAACTCCGCCATGAAATAATAATTTTTTTTTTTTTTTCATTTCACTTACTTCACATCGTGCTAAATTGATATTGACTCAATCCTATGTTCCCTTGTGCATCTCGTATGATCACCCCTTTAATAACTCCCAGCACATCGTGCGGTTCAGGCATTGACAAACGAGGCGCGGTGCTCGGGCCAGACATAAAGTCACTGTGAAAGATGAAATTAGAAATAATGTAAGTGCGATGTCAAGACGAACAAGAATAAATATATTTACGTTGGTAGGGGTATTGCCGTATGTCTACCAGGTTGGTTCCAATTAAAAGAAGATAGCTGAATCGACAGAGACTGCATGGAACTGGTCGTATCCCAATTAGATATGCCTGTATACTGATATTGTTGATTCTGTTGACCATTGGCCGAAGGTTCTTGTGAATACGGTGCAAAGTAACCTGGATAAACTTGTGAATTATAATATTCAGTTTGAAACCCAATAACTATAAGTTTTAAAAAAATCTACATCGTCAATACAAGAATAGAGTGAGGAGAACAATGATTCCAAGTTACTTTACCAGAAGAATATTGTGAATCTGTTGAGTATTGTGTATAATCATATCCGGGTTGCGAAGATTGAATTTGTGGATTTGGAATATTGGGAGGCATTGGAGGCATTGGGGGCGCTTCGTAAATTGCCGGCGATGACTTTGGAGGTGGACCTACACTTAGAGGAATGAGCGGTCCACGGTGATCTCGGTGCCTATTATCCTCAGGTCTTCTCTCGTGTGAGTTTTTCCTTCTGTCATCATAATTTCGATGATAGGGATCATCCCGTCGACCCATTTGAAGCCTCTCACGATTGAAAGCTGGTGAAGGTGCCGAGGGACCGCGAAAATCGGGTTTTCGATCAAAATCTCTTCGTGCATAATCCTCTCGACGATCTCTGTAATGACCGTCTGGACGGCGATCTCTATATTCTCGGTCTTCTCGCGCGATCCAGTCGCGGCGACGCTGTGCCCCTTGATTTTGGTATGGTGAATGACGGGGACCACCTCGTGCAGGCCAATAAGCACCACGGTTGTTACCTCTTCCTCGGTTACGATTTTGCTCCGAATGACCAGCATTTGTTACCTCCGAAGTATCGGTCTTATTATATTGTTCCCACAGTCGAAAGATCTGTCCAAAGACTATTAAATAAAAAATTTAAATCAATAACATATACGTTACCGGGGAATATAAATATCCTACAGCCTCACCTTCTGTGTTATTATTATTAGCGTTTTCGTTTTCTTCGTTCCAAGATCCTTCGACAGAAGCCTGATCCGTGTTAACATAAGTTGATTTAAGCTCCTCGATGGCATCGCTAAAACTTTTATTAAGTGCGGCAGCTTCTTGGAACCTCAATTTTATTATCTATCGAGAATCGTAGGGAATTTAATTTAATAATCAATAATGATAACTTTAATGAAGCTCTTACACACCTCTGAATCTGGGTTAATATCTTTCAAAGCTTCTTTTCCTCTCTGGATTAAAGTAGGAATGCTTCAGAAAAAAAGCAAAGACTAATTAGAATATAACATCGCAGAGGTTCTATTTTCTTACTTCGTCTAATTCGTTCAAAATTCGATCCCTTGCTGACGTAAGCACATCATCGGTGCAATAGAGTTGTAAATCAGCATGTAATTTCCTTCGATCGTTAAATAACTCTTTTGTATCTTCTTCAGATTTTGTCTTCAGAAACCCAGTGATATACTAAACAGCCAGTCAACAACGAAATTTAAATTTCCCTTTAACATGTGAAATGGTGTTCATACGACCTCGGCCCTTTAATAATTAAAAACTATAGCTATATTTTTTTACCTCCTTACAACATTCCTGTACAAGCAAATGAAGTGGTTGTGTTGATTTCTTCGGTTGTGGCTGTTTCTTTTGTATGTTGTTAGTTGGAGTGGTAACAACTGCGGGAGTTGTTGGAAGCTTAGTTGGAACAAGACTTTCCTTCCCCGAAACAAGCGGGTGGATCATAGGTGTTGCCGCTCGTAATTGTGGAGGTGGTGTCATTTCAAAATTTTGTTGAAAATCTCCAGATCGTGACGTTACACCAGGTGGAGGCGGCTGTGCATTTAAAGTCGTCATAACCTGACCTGGTGGACCTGGTGGTGGTGTTGATGAAACCAAGGGAATTTGTGCTTGACCGGGAGGTGGTGGTTGCGGCTGTGACATCTCTGGTAAATTAATGATTATTTGGTTCTAAAATGAAATTCCGTTTTTTTTTTTTTCTCGCTGATTGTTGGTGGCTGAGTAATTTTTTTTTATGCGACAATGATTAATCACGTGATGAGATCACATTTATTGATAGGCTGCATATACACCAAGATTTATTTCAAAATATAAAGTGGAACATTGCCAAATACTAAAGGATTACAGCCAATTCCCAAACCAAAATTTATCGGGTCGTTTTCTTTTACTTCCAAGAATTTCTTCCGAAGCTTTAGCCATTCTTAGTAAAGTTGCCTCGTCATACCATTTGGCCATAAAATGTAATCCAATCGGCAATTGATTATCATCATACCCTGCTGGTACCGACACCGCTGGTATGCCAGTAAAATTCGACAATTGCATAAATCTCATACCGTCTGATGTAGTCAATGAATCAACTTCTCCATATTTTAATGCACTTGGACGGATTTTTGGCGCCGTTATTGCAGTAGTTGGTGTTAATATGAGGTTAACTTGCGAAAACACTTTAGAAAGATTTCGCATTGCACGATTACGAACTTGCTGAGCTTGCACTGAAATAGAACAATAAATAATTAAGTTCATTCCAAATCCAAGAATTCCCAAAAATAATGAAACCAATACTCACTATAATCCTGAGCATATTGTTATCGGCCCATTATGTACAATTATTACATTAAATCAAAATACAGTTGAATTTATAAACGTTAAACTTACCGAAACAGTTATGTTGGATGTTACCGAAAGTAAAATCCGATTTGGATGAGTAAGCAAATGATTACCATTGTACTTGCTTATTGCAGCATTGTGTTCGGCACCAATTGAAATCACGTGAGCAAGCCTCGCTTCTTCCAACTCCGGAATTTCAATTTCCACAATCTCTGCCCCTCGGAGTTTAAATGCCTCAGTAAATGTCTTGACCGCTTCTGAAATGGCAGGATTAGTCACCTGCTTATTCCACGCAGAAAAAACTCCAATTTTTAGATCGGATAGATCATCAGTTGAATAAAGGCCGTGAAGCGTAGGTGAAGGTTGATGAAATGTTTTTGGATCCTGTAAGAACAAAACGATAACATATTATTTCATGAGTGAAAAATTACAAAGTCACATCAAGTTACAAACCTCTGGATCTTTTCCAGCCATAACGTAATACGACATTGCAAGATCTTCAGCACTTGACGCCATAGGCCCACCAACGCCTACCGACCATGAGAGCGTAACTGGATCGCAATGAAATATTAACATGTGTGACTCTATGAAAACTTGCTTAATATTTTATTACGCCTACATTTTCCAGTAGCGGATACTCTTCCACATGTGGTTTTTAATCCGTAAATTCCGCAAAATGCCGATGGAACTCTGAAGTTTACAATAAATAAATCAATTGTATTCAAAATATATTATACTAATTTAATGTTACCTTATTGAACCACCACCATCACACCCGATGGCAATTGGACATAATCCAGCAGCAACGACACATCCGCTGCCACCGCTCGATCCACCGGAATAATGTTCAACATTGTACGGATTGCGAGGTGTTAAAAAATTCGGATTGTTACCTGTAATACTATTTTTTAAAAAAAAAAAAAATTTCATGTTTATTACCTTTTCAATAATTAGAAAATTTTGAGTAGACTTTTAAATTCACTTACTCCAATCCAATTTCGTGCATGCTCGTTTTCCCGATTATAATGGCACCTTTATCTTTTAATTTCTTAACAGCAAACGAATCTTTCTGGGCGGGATTGTTGAGATTTATATATTTTGTACCTGCTCGAGTTTCATAACCTTTCACATCGACTTCATCCTTTGCATAAAGTTCATTGTACATTAACTTTAATATTATTAATTGACAACCAAATGTCCTTCTCTAATACCTTAACTGCAATAGGAACACCATCGAGAGGTCCCCATGCTAGATTTTGTTCGTATCTGGCAGTTGAAGCTGTAGCTTGCGCAATGATATCATCTTGATTATACATGCAGATGCAGTCAAGAGATGAATTGCCCGAATGAGATTCTTGAATTTTAAGGATCAGGGATTCACAAACCTGTTTCAAAAAAAAAGTCGTTATTAAAATTGTATCCTTATATATCAATTCAGGAAAGAATATTCTTAGATTACTTTTAAAGGAGTAAGCTTCTTGGAAAGATAGGCCTCGTGGAAATCTAACGCGCTAAAATAGCTCGAATGTTCCGAAAATGAATGATTTTTTTCCTTTCCTTGTCTGAAAATTTCAAGTCCGACCACATTCTTATTTTTAAAAAATTTGTGAGCATCTCACGAACTCTTAACACGAATACTTTGTTAATTGGTTTCTTGATATTGTCACACATTCGACCAACCTTTTCCTCCTCAATTTCAAACAATTCCTTTGGCAAAGGCAACGGAATCATGGTTACATCATCTTCAAAAGTCCTATTCCTCAAATTCCCAACGCCAGAATTCCAGAAAAGGAGCGACGAAATGAAAGAGAAACGCTCGACAAGAGGCGTGAACAATCGTAAAGATACATTACTCAAATAGGGAGCAGAAAGTCGTTTCGTCACCTATAAAAGACCATGCCATTATTATGAGGGTTTTTAAACAAATAAAGGCGGGGAAATATATCCAATGCACCTCACGATCGTCCTCGTCATTCGTTGACATCTTTGATGAAATTAACAATTCTCACGCATTGTTTCTTCTCTGATAGAAGAATCCGAAAGCCTGGTTTTCACGTGATATTCTCTCGATACTATTATTAACCTTTTTCATATCATTATGGAAAATCTTATATTAAAAAAAAAAAAACAAATTATCCAAATCCACTAGTACAAAAAAAATATTAAAATATATAAAGTATATTATTAATTATATGCAGTATATTAATAAATAATTATAATAATAATAAACTCTTTTTATTGATTTCTTTGTCAATTTAAAAACAGATATTTCAAATAAAATCTTTATTCTTTTTTAATATAAAAAATTTTATTTACAAAATCAAAAATAAAAAAAATTAGTAAAAATCTTTTTTTTTATCTCTTTAATATTTTTTTTATTTATTTAAATATATAAACTTTTTTTTAATTGTAATTTTTTTATTATATCAAAATTCCTAAATAATAATTAAATAATTAATATATAACTAAAAATATAAACAAATATATAATTTTTAAATATTTTATATTATATAACAATAAATTAATAATATTATCAATTATAATAAAAGAATAGAATAGTAAAATATTTGTTTTTTTAAAAAATAATTTTAAAATAATATCAAACAGTTATAAATATATTGTTAGTAATTTTAAAAAATAAATAATAATAAATTCATTTTATATAATTATTTTTTTATTTATTTATTTTTATTAATAATTTTTAAGAAATTAATTTTAAAAATTCTTTGAAATTTGCTACAAAAGTATTTGATTATTCTTGTTTTTCTTGTTTGAAATTCAACAAATAATTTTTATTAAGCTCAAATTAATATTTTTCAAATCCAAAAATAAACCTATTTAATATTTTCTAATATAATATATGTTTTAATATTTATTTTTAATATTAATTAAAAAAATATTATAAAACTAATATTTCATTTTATATATTTAGTATAATTAAAAAATGTTTGTTTCTTTTTTTATATATTATTATTATATATTTTAAATATAGTTTGCAAAAAAATTTTTAAACAAATTTTTATTTTTATTTTTATTTATAATTTAATAGATAAGTAAAAAAAAATTTTTTTAATGTATATTAAATTTATTGTTATATTAAAACAAACTTTTTTCAAAAAATATTACTTTGATTCAATTTATTATAATAATTTTAATTTATTAATTTATAAAATAAAATTGCTTAGGAAAAACTCTCTCCTGATCGCGTCCGTTTTGCAAAAAATTTTCCTTTTATGATAATTTCAAGCAAGAAAAAATGTTTTACACTCTTTATCACAAGTGAGCCCCAGCTCAGGAAC